ATATGTTTATATATAGAGAGATCTCTCTCTCTCAGAGAGAGAGAGAGAGAGAACAGACAAGGAAGCCATTAGCCTAGGTCTGCGGACATCACTGAAGAACGTTTGTAACCTGGAAATCAAAAGCATTAATCCCAGTTGTTAGAAATTCCAGTGAGTTTATATTGCATTGTTTATTTCTTTCTTCATTGACAAGCATTTGGGTTACCGGTTACGTAATTGGCTTACCAACTGACATATTTGTTAATTGGTCGTGCAAAGGAGAACCCCCCCCAAAAAAAAAAAAAAAAAAAAAAAAAAAATCCTAAAAGAATCAAAGCAGAAAACCCCCCTCAAACCCGGGCTGCTTGCTCGCTCAGCGCGCCTTGTAGTAGCAGAGCTCTATCTGTATGTTGTTGATCTGCACGTCCGGCGTGGCTGCCCCGCCCCTCTTGTCGTTGTTGTCCGTGTTCTCCGAGTCGATGGTCAGGAACTCTGGGCTCACGGTCATGTGATGTACTCTCTGGCACTGCCCGCCGCGCCTGTACAGGTAGAAGGGCCGGTTGGTGGGCAGGTAAATCTCAGTTTCGGACGAGCCGTCGCTCCGGCAACAGTAGTCGAGTCTCGTGCCGCTGTCACTGTAGTTGCTGTTTGGGAGAACACCGAAACGGAAGGGATTCTGCTCGTTGTCCTCTTCGTCTATGTAAACAAAACCTTCCTGGAAGCCTCCTGGGCACTGTTCCTTCTTGTTGATGCAGTAGGAGCCGCGCGGCCACTTTGGACCCACAGTGTTGCCGGACGTCTTCACGCAGAAATGCTCGGTGGCGTAATTCTGGCTGTCTTCCCTGGACAGAGCTGGCGTCTGCAGATTGCTGGTGGTTGAGACAGCATCTTTGTTTCTGTCCGTGGACTCGGAGTGATGGCGAATGTAGCCTTTCTCCCACACGTTAGCGTTGTCGGACGGGCAACCCGTGTTGGGCTCGAGCAAGGCGTAGCTGCCTTCCGGCCAGTAGAGCAGAAAGCCACTTTCCACCACTCCTCGCAGATCTGACTCCATGGCAAGCAGCTGCTGGTTTTGGGCTGTCAGCGTTTCTTTTATTTCTTCCGTTAAATTTTTCAGCTGTTCCTGGATCGCGTTGTTGTTTTCCTCCACTTGGGCGATAACTTTTGCACTCTCGGCCTCTAACATGTTTGTAACGTCCACCCCTTTCAGATCCTTTCCAATCTCTTTTTGAGAGGACCTTGTCAACTCTGCAGACTATAGATAGAAACAGAGATCGGTTATTTCAGATCGAATTGTTTTGTTTTGTTTTGTTTTGTTTTGCTTTGCTTTGTTTTGTTTTTTTCTTTACTTTTCTTCCCAATCTACAAGTGGTACACCAAAATCTTTCCACCTGGGTGTAATATTTAACTTGATATCCATCTACGATAAGACCTTGTTAAGGGAGTGGGGGAGGTTTTGGAAACTCTTAATGAAATCGAAGTTTACGAAAGTTTCGCTGAAGACTCATAAATTGTGAAGATTACATTACCTTTTGTGTGTGTGTGTGTGTGTGTGTGTGTGTGTGTG